TGAATATGGATTTGATTATAGATGAAAATAACATGTGATTGTGTTGAGGCATGAAAGAATTTTTTTTTTTAATTAGGTAATTTTTATTTTAGCATATCTTCATATTTACTATAAAGTCTATATATTGTTACATGTTTTTCAATTTTATGTAAAAATCATATAATGTAATTGAATTTTTATTATTAAGATATATATATATTTATAAAATTTCTATAGTCTATCTATACTCTTATTAAAAACAAAATCCTTCCTTGCATTCCTGCCCAAAGAATAAAGAAAGAAAAAAGTTACTGTTAGGAATAAATTGTAAATTTTGATGAGCCGAATGTTTTTTTGAAAAATCAAGTAGTCCCCAATTTTATTCTATTTGAGTCAGTTTGAGTCTACAGAGTATGGTGCACCCATATCATGCAACCCATGTACAAGTCTGAAAGATCATAATTTATTTGAAGAAGTTAAGCGGGATTATAGCTTAACAAAATTATGATGCGGATAAGTCACCAAGAACCATGCTAAGGAGTTGGGTGATACGCGTGTGAGCTATATGCCAAATGATCCTAAGTTTGAATCTCAAGTGAAGTATTTTTAACTTGCTTGGGAGACTATGGAAGCCGTATGGGAGACTAGCTACCACCGTATGAGAGACTAACCAGTACCGTATGGGAGACTAACTACCACCATATGAGAGACTAGCTAAACCGTATGGGAGACTAGCTAAATCGTATTGGAGACTAAACATGGGAGACTAGCTAGCTTGGGAGATTAACCTCAATGGAGACTAGCTAGCTTGGGAGGCTAACCTCAATGGAGACTAGCTAGCTTGGGAGACTAACATCAATGTAGACTAGCCTAAATGGAGACTAGCTAGCTTGGGAGACTAACCTAGATGGAGACTAGCTAGCTTGGGAGACTAACCAAGATGGAGACTAGCTAGCTTGGGAGACTAACCCCATGAAGGAGACTAACCAACTTGGAGACTAGGCAAGAAGGAGACTAAGTAAAATGGAGACTAACCAAGATGAATGCACAAGTCTCACAGAAGCCATGCACCAGATGAAGAAACACACCAAGTATGGTGGACCAAGAAAAAAATCGAAACAGAGCATATCACCATGAACAAACAGTGAAGTTTTTACAGAGGTTCCAATATATCATTCTACAAGGATCATGAAGAAGAAAATAACTGATATATTTTCATCTGAACATCAATCTTTTTATGGTGGAACCGGAGACGCTCGAAGGAGAGTGATTCACGGAGATATTGCTTCATACTCAAGCAAGAATCAGCAGATGAATTATTTGATCAACTTGATATGTCAGAACATTTATGAATGACAAGAAATGTCAAGATTGCCGCGCCGAACTTATTCAAATCTTGGAGGCTACAAAATTCAAGATACGGCAACGGGCAAAATATTCAAATCATCTGACAAAAGGAGAAAAGACATCTACCTAATATTTCAGATCAAGTTGACAATTTTTGATCAACTACAATTCAAAATGGACGATCGAGATCGAAAGTTGATCAACGGGCAAATAGCTTTCATTGGCTATAAATTGCCCAAGCAGACTTGAAGACAAACAAGAATTCGACAACGAAAAACAACGAAGAATATCCAATCAATCATCAAGTGATATATTGAGCTATATACGATAGAATTCAAGTCTGAGTGAGAGAAAGATTTTATCTCTTTGTAATATTCTCTACTGAGTGTAGAAAGAGGGTGGAGTAACTAGAGAGAGTGAAAAACACTGGTTGAGTGTAGCTTTGTGCGTAGCACTCGGTGTAAAGGGCAGAGTAACAAGGGGAGCTTGTGAAAACCCTGTGAGAGCGTAGCTTTGTGCGTAGTTCTCGTGGTGTAGGAGTACAGCTTGGTGCGAAGTACTCGGGAATGCGGAGTAACAAGAGGAGCTTGCGAAAAACCTTGGAGGAGTGTAGCTTTGTGCGAAGCACTCGGAGAAATGTCGGTGGACACTTATTCACTATTGTATCTGGGTCATCGAAGAATAGTGAATTTCCTCCTTGAAGTGAAAGGAGAAAAGTGGACTAGGAGAATTACACCATCTCCGAACCACTATAAATCTCTCTCTCTATTTACTTACTGCTCATATATTTCGTGCATGCTTATTCTAACTGCGAACTAACCCGATTACGATTTATTGCATTTCTTTATCTGTCTGGGTTTGATAGTTCCCACGTTTGCATGCAAGCCAAACTTTACGTATATCATATTTGAACCATATCAAGTGTTTCTAACGTGTTGCATGTTTAGAATATCTCTTTGAGCACCACACTTATAAGCATAACACTTTAACCGCTATCTATTCCGCTGCACACTCTAAGTTGTTTATCTTGTTGATGCTTGTTACTTAGAGTTGAAATTACCAAAGTGTTATTTGCCTTGTGTATTTTCGAAGAAAGTTGGAAAAGTTAGAGAAGTCTATTCACCCCCCCTCTAGACTTCTCGCCACCCTTTCGGGACCAACAGTTACTAATTAATAATACAAATAATAATCAGTAAAAATGTTAGTAGTAAAATAGGAAAATAAAAAAGAAAAGATCTTTAATTCACGGAATATGAAATTCACTGGTTAATTAATATTAATAATAATCAGTAAAAAGGTTAGCAATAAAACATGAAAATAAAAAAGAATCCGTAATTCACTGAAAATAGTAAAGAAAGCGGAATTCACTTTAAAACTAATAATAATCAATAAAATAGGAAAAATAAAAAAAGATCCTTAATTAATTGAAAATAGAAAAGGAAATGCAAGATTGCCAAAAAAAAAAAAAAAAAAAAAAAGGGCCATAATAATGATACCAGTAAAAAAGGAAAATCCTATAAAAAATTACAATTAATAATAATAAGGATATGGAATTAAATTAATAATAATAATAACAATAATAACAATAATAATAATAATAATAATAATAATAATAATAATAATAATAATAATAATAATAATAATAATAATAATAATAATAATGTATACTATTAATAAAAATAAAATCCTCCTATGTAGTTTCCAGTTTGATGTGGTATACTGATTTCCTACAAATTAAAATGGATGATTAGGAATATGAAGATGATAGTATTTAAAAAAAAAAAAAAAAAAAAAAAAAAAAAAAAAAAAAAAAAACTGAAGGTGAATATGGATTTGATTATAGATGAAAATAATATGTGTTTGTGTTGAGGCATGAAAAAAAAAATTATTTTTTTAAAATTAGGTAATTTTTATTTTCGCATATCTTACCATTTACTATAAAGTCTATATACTGTAACATGTTTTTCTATTTTATTTAAAAACCATATAATGTAACTGAATTTTTATTATTAAGATATATATTTATAAAATTTCTATAGTCTATCTATACTCTTATTAAAAACAAAATCTCCCTTTCTTGCATTCCCGCCCAAAGAATAGAAAAGGAAAAAAGTTACTAATTAATAATACTAACAGCACGTTTGGTTCACGGAGTGAATTTTGAGGTAATAGGAATGCTATTCCATAAGGAATGGAATAGGCTAGGAATAGAATAGGAATTGTATTCTATTGTTTGGTTCGCGGAAGGAATAGACTTTAGGAATTATATTACAGTGTTTGGTTGATTTAAGGAATAGAAATGAAATTTGTTTTAAAAGGCATAAATACCCTTATAAAAATATGTGATGGTGGCGATGGTGATGGTGATGGTGGCGGTGGTGGCGATGGTGGTGGTGGCGGTGGTAGTGGTGGTGGCGGGGTGGTAGTGGTGGCGGTGGAGGTGGTAGTGGTGGGGGCGGCGGTGGTGGTGGGGGCGACGACGGTTGTGGCGATGGTGGTGGTGGTGGTGGCGGCGGCGATGGTGGTGGCGGTGGTGGTGATGGTGGTGGTGGCGGTGGTGGTGCTGGAGTGGTAGTGGTGGTGGTGGCGGTGGTAGTGGTGGGGGCAACGGTGGTGGTGGGGCGACGACGGTTGTGGCGATGGTGGTGGCGGTGGTGCTGCTGGGTGGTGGTTCTGGTGGCAATGGCGGCGGCGATGGTGGTGGCGGTGGTGGTGATGGTGTTGGTGGTGCTGGGGTGGTAGTGGTGGTGGTGGCGGTGGCAGTGGTGGGGGCGGCGGTGGTGGTGGGGGCGACGACAGTTGTGGCGATGGTGGTGGCGGTGCTGCTGCTGGGTGGTGGTTCTGGTGGCGGTGGCAGTGGTGGCGGCGGCGATGGTGGTGATAGTGGTGGTGGCGGTGGTAGTACTGGTGGTGGCGGTGGCAGTGGTGGGGGGGGGGGGGGGGCGGTGACGGTTGTGGCGATGGTAGTGGTGGTGGCGGCAGCGGCGATGGTGGTGGTGGCGGCGGCGACGGTGATGGTGGTGGTGGCGACAACGGTGGTGAAATAGGATAAATTTATATATAGGATAAAAAAATTAGGTTAAAGAAAGGGGTAAAAAAGAAAATAGATTCTAAAATCTATTTCTGAGCGTTCAGTAATAGGCTAATACCAGGGGGGCCCTAGTAATAGCTATTACCTTATTTGATGTAATAGGCTATTACCAGGAATATTATTCCTGGTAATAGAAATGGTTACCAAACAAAGGAATAGACCTATTACTTGGAATGCTATGCCATTCCCGGCCTATTCCGTGAACCAAACAGGCCATAATAGTAATCAGTAAAAAGTTAGCAGTAAAATATGAAAAAAAAAAAAAAAAAAAAAAAAAGATCCTTAATTCATGAAAAATGGAAAAGAAAATGAAATTCACTAATTAATTAATACTAATAATAATTAGTAAAAAAGTTAGTTGTAAAATAAGAAAATAAAAAAAAAATCTGTAATTCAATGAAAATGATTAGAGAATTCAAAATAATTCAGTTGCGATTGAATTGAGATTACAAAGTATATCTGTAATCCATCTAAAACTACTCCTGACAACTAGGCTATACTAAGTCAAACATAACTAACATTATATAATTACAATCATATTATAAAATAATAATAATGCTAATACTAACACACCCCCTCAAGCTCAAGGTTGGTGAAGCACAATGTTGAGCTTGTCCCGTAGAGTAGCAAAGCGTGGAGCTGGAAGAGGTTTGGTGAAAATGTCAGCTAGTTGATCAGTAGTTGAGATGTAGTTAACCACAAATTTCCCGGACGCCACCTTGTCTCGAACAAAATGATAGTCAATTTCAACGTGCTTGGTGCGTGCATGAAAGACCGGGTTGGCACAAAGATATGTTGCACCTAGATTGTCGCACCATAAAGAAGCAGGTTCGCCGGAGTGTAGCCCCAATTCTCGGAGTAAGGAAATAACCCAAGTAACTTCAGCGGATACATCGGCTAGGGCTTTGTATTCAGCCTCTGTGGAGGACCGGGCCACGGTGCGTTGTTTCTTGGATAACCAGGAGATGAGATTAGAGCCTAGATATACCGCGAAACCACTTATACTCTTGCGATCAATAGGACACCCTGCCCAGTCGGAGTCCGAGTAGGCCTGTATGTGAGTAGTAGATGAGGGCGAAAACCGTAGCCCTAGCGAGATGGTCCCCTTTATGTAACGCAGGACACGTTTGACGAGCCCCCAGTGTTCAGTTGTAGGTGAGTGCATGAACTGACATAGCCAGTTGACTGAGTATGAAAGGTCGGGTCGTGTGATGGTTAGGTATTGTAGAGCACCAACCACACGCCGATATTGAGTCGGATTGTCAAACGGTTCTTCAGATGGTGTGACTGACTTTGTAACGGCTGCTGGTGTGGCAAGTGGCTTGCAGTCTACCATTCCAGCTCGACTTAGGAGATCAGTCATGTATCGACGTTGAGAGAGGATAATACAATCACCATCGGAAATAGTTTCTATGCCCAAGAAGAAATGAGGAGTACCGAGATCCCTAATTTTGAAAGCAGAAGCAAGCCGTTGGAGTAATGAGGCAACCAGGGCAGCATCATTTCCCATCATGATTATGTCGTCGACATAGACAAGTAAGAAAACCCGGGAATCTCCGGCCGTGTAGAAGAACAGGGAGACATCGGTTTTGGAGGATTTAAAACCTGCAGATAATAGAAAATCATGAAGGCGCTTGAACTAGGCGCGTGGGGCCTGTTTCAAGCCATAAAGCGACTGCTGTAAGAGGCACACATGCCCGGGATTGGTGGGATCCTCATATCCCGGAGGTTGCTTCATGTATACGGTTTCTGCTAGGTGACCGTTCAAGAAAGCATTGTGAACGTCAAGTTGACGTAGCGTCCACTGATTCGATACTGCAAGTGAGAACAGCATTCGGACAGTGGTGGGTTTAACCACTGGGCTGAAGGTGTCGAAGAAATCCTCTCCTGCCACTTGATTAAACCCTTTTGCCACGAGGCGCGCTTTGTAGCGTTCCACCGTGCCATCGGACTTGCGTTTGGTGCGAAACACCCACTTGCACCCAATGATATTCATATGGGACTCGGGAGCAACAAGTCGCCACGTCTGATTATGGAGTAGAGCGTTAAACTCTTGATCCATTGCCTCCCGCCAATGTGAATGACCTACGGCTTGAGAGTAGCACGTTGGGTCAGTGCTGACAGTTAAGGCCTGGAATGTCTCATCTGTGCCCTTAGTCATATGACGCAGGCGCATGGCATGATCCCTACTCTGTGGAGCAACCCTTTTTCTGCGGGTTCTAACCGGTGCTGTGTGGGTGATAGCCAGTGCAGGTGGCTCCCGAGCAAGTGGTACGGGCTCCGGTTCGGCATAACACGGTGTGCTATTGGTTGCCACTGGTTGTGGAGCAAGGGATGAGACTATTGGTGCCGCAGCCCATGGTAAAGCGGGCGTTGACGTCTCAGCAGGTGTATGCCCTGTAGAAAAAAGGAAAAATAGTCTCGTCGAATCGGACGTGACGGCAGATGTAGGTTTTCCCACTTGTTAGGTCAATGCATCTGTATCCCCTATAGGTTGGCGGGTAACCTAGGAAGACACACGGAGTGGAGCGGTATTCTATCTTATGCCTGTTATAGGGGCGTAGATAGGGAAAACACCGACATCCAAAGACTCTAAGAAAGGCATATGGTGGTGGTGTTTTAAAGAGACGGGTATGGGAATTTCAAAGTTTATAGCTGCTGAGGGTAAGTAGTTAATTAAACAGGTTGCTGTTTCGAAAGCGTAGTCCCAGTAATGTTGGGGAACTTTGCCTTCAGCTAACAGTGCAAGACCTATTTCAACAACGTGTCTGTTTTTACGTTCTACCCTCCCGTTTTGTTCATGTGTATAGGCACAAGATTGACGGTGATTTATTCCCAGATTTTGGAACGTAGTGTGTAACTTTCGGTACTCACCCCCCTAGATCGGACTGAATGGACTTGATAGAGCGCGAGAATTGTCGCTCTACCAACACACGAAACAACTCGAAAATTTTATATATGTCAGATTTCATCCTTAAAGGATAAAACCAACAGAAACGCGAAAAATCGTCTACAAATAGTACAAAGTAGCGAAAACCATTTGTAGACATTACAGGTGACAGTCCCCATATATCTGTATAGACCAAATCTAATACATTTTCACTAATATTGGGAACTTTATCTAATTTAAAACGTGTGGACTTGCCAAGGTGACACGCTACACATGACTCCACGGATTCACTTTTATTTGGAATGACCGGGCAATTTGACAAGACTTTATTGAGCAGCTGTTTATGCGGGTGACCAAGGCGACGATGCCACACCGTGGGAGTAGCCCGGGAACTGACGAACGCTAGATGACACCGGGACACCGGGAGTTTATATAATCCGCCAGTGGTGGGACCCCTAAGAAGAATTGCCTTGGTGGTTGAATCCTTCACAAAAAACAATTAGCATGAAATTCAACAAAGACATTATTTTCAGATGTGAATTTCTGCACAGACAATAACGGAACTGACAAAGATGGTACGTGTAATATATTAGATAAAGACAATGGTTTAGAATTAGACGGGAGAGATGCATGTCCAACGCGTGAGATCGGCAGACCTGCGCCATTACCGACACGCAAGACATCAGCGCCGGTATACTCATCCGAATGGCTCATCATGCCCGCATCCAGAGTCGCATGGGCAGTCGCTCCCGTATCCGGATACCAGGCTTCGGATGGTGCAGCTGTAGACGGCATGGACGGTGCATCATTTGAGATCGCGACGTTGGCTTGCGGCGGTTGTGTATTGTACCGTTTGTAGCATTACACCGCCGTATGACCGTGGGACCTGCATATCTGACACCTCGGAGTTCCACGGCCACCTCGTCCACCCCTATTCTGGCCGCCACCACAGTTGTTCCGGCCACCACGCCCTTGCGGATTTCCTGACTGCCTGCCGCCACCTTGCTGCGTACTGCCACGACCCGAGCTGGCGTACATGGCCGTGAGGCTGCCAGGTGAGTCGCCGCCGACCGGATAATCGTCCACGAGTATAAACTCGTGGGCCTGGAGATGATCGGAGAGATGCGCTAAGGTGACCGGAGATCCCGTTGCCGTCAAGGAAGTCGCCATGGCCTTCAGTTCCGGACGTAATCCCCGAAAGACATAGAGATTCTGCTCCATGAGGGATAACGGCCGGCCGGCTTGAGCTAAGGCTTCCACGAGCAATTGCGCACGCCCGAGGTACTCGGCGGTGGTGGAGTGGCCTTGCCGGAGAACCTGGAACTGCCCCAACAGACTGAGGCATCTGGCTTGGCTCGACGATCCAAGGGCGAATGTAATGGATGACCACACCGCAGCAGATGTTTCTTTTCCGATGGCGAGATGGAGAACTTCATCCGCCATGGAGGACACCAATAACGACAATATGGACTGGTCCTGCTTCTCCCAGGCTTTGAACGCCGGATTGGGAATGGTGGAGGCAGTCGCGTCGTCGGAGGTCCCGGTCGAAGGAGCGGCAATCGTGGCCGGAGGACATGGATAACTCCCGTCCACATAACCAAGCAATTCTTGGCCGCGAAGGAATGGGATGATTTGGGTGCGCCAAAACAGAAAGTTTCTGTTCGTCAGTTTCATGCTCACGAAGTGATGAGCGCCGGAAAGACCGTTCGCACCTGCCGGAGTTGGATTGCCGGAGGCGGAAGCAGTTCGATCGGAGGAACTTGACGACATGGCTAGCGGTGAGAGGAGGAGAGAATTTTGGCCGGTGAGGTTTTACGGGAAGGAGGGGGGGGGGGGAAATTGCGTTTGCGGAGGAGAGAGAATCGTATCCTGATTGATACCAGATTAGAGAATTCAAAATAATTTAGTTGCGATTGAATTGAGATTACAAAGTATATCTGTAATCCATCTAAAACTACTCCTGACAACTAGGCTATACTAAGTCAAACATAACTAACATTATATAATTACAATCATATTATAAAATAATAATAATGCTAATACTAACAAAAATAATCAGTAAAGATATGGAAGTAAATTAATAATAATAATAATAATAATTCACTTATCCGTAATACTAATAATAATCAGTAAAATAGGTAAATAAAAAAGAATACTTAATTCATAGAAAATGAAAAAGGAAAGGCTAGATTGTGCCAAAAAAAATATATATATAAGAAAAAAGAAGAAGGGTCATAATAAGAATACCAATAAAAAAGAAAATCCTATAAAAAATTACTAATTAATAATAATAAAGATATGGAAGTAAATTATTAATAATAATAATAATAATAATAATAATAATAATAATAATAATAATAATAATAATAATAATAATAATAATGTATACTATTAATGTAGTTTCCAGTTTGATGAGATATCCTGATTTTCTAAAAATTAAAATGGATGATTAGGAAAATGAAGATGATAGTATTATAAAAAAAAAAAAAAAAAAAAAAAAAAGGTGAATATGGATTTGATTATAGATGAAAATAATATGTGATTGTGTTTAGGCATGAAAGAAAATCATTTTTTTTAATTAGGTAATTTTTATTTTAGCATATCTTACTATTTACTATAAAGTCTATATACTGTAAAATGTTTTTCTATTTTATGTAAAAACCATATAATGTAATTGAATTTTTATTATTATGATATATATTTAAAAATTTTCTATAGTCTATCTATACTCTTATTAAAAATAAAATTCCCCTTAATACTTGCATTCCCGCCTAATGAATAGAAATGAAAAAAAAAAAAGTTACTAATTAATAATACTAATAATAATCAGTAAAAAAAGTTAGCAGTAAAATAGGAAAAAAAAAAAGATCATTAATTCACGAAAAAATGGAAACGGAAATGAAATTCACTGATTAATTAATAATAATAATAATCTGTAAAAAATTTGCAGTAAAATAAAAAAATAAAGAAGGATCCTCAATTCATTGAAAATGGAAATGAAAGGCAAGATTGTCCCAATAACAAAGGGGGGCCATAATAAGAATACCAGTAAACAAGAAAAATTCTATCAAAAATTACTAATTAATAATAATAAGGATCTCGAATTAACTTAATAATAATAATAATAATAATAATAATAATAATAATAATAATAATAATAATAATAATAATAATAATAATAATAATAATAATGTATACTATTAATAAAAATAAAATCCTACTATGTAGTTTCCAGTTTGAAGTATTATCCTAATTTCCTACAAATTAAAATGGATGATTAAGAAAATGAAGGTGATAGTATTCAAAAAAAGAGAGAGAAAAAAAAGTGAATATGGTTTTGATTATAGATGGAAATAATATGTGATTGTGTTGAGGCATGAAAGAAAATCATTTTTTTTTAGGTAATTTTTATTTTAGCATATCTTACTATTTACTATAAAGTCTATGTACTGTAACATGTTTTTCTATTTTATGTAAAAACCATATAATGTAATTGATGTTTTATTATTAAGATATATATATATATATATATATATATATATATATATATATATAATTTCTTTAGTTTATATATTATCTTATTAAAAACAAAATGATCATTCCTTGCATTCCCACCGAAAGAATAGAAAATGCAAAAAGTTACTACGTTCTAATTAATAATACTAATAATAATCAGTAAAAAAGTTAGTAGCAGTAAAATAGGAAAAAAAAAAAGATCCTTAATTCACGGAAAATGGAAAAGGAAATTAAAAAAAAAAAAATCCTTATTGTTCTAAACGTTGCTTCAAGTGGAATAACATCTTTGCTATTGCTGGGTGGCAGGATGACGCATTCTCGATTTGCTATACCACTTTCAGTGAATGAAGATTCTACCTGCAATATCTCGCAAGGTAGTGACCTTTGCGAACTTATAATCAGAAGCAAATTGATAATATGGGACGCCACACAAATAATATTTTGAGCCTTTAGACAAAACCATGAGGGATATATTGAGATTCACCATACCTGGCCTGGTAGTGATCAGAAAACATTAGGTGGAAGGACAGTAGTATTGCTCAGTGATTTTAGACAGATTCTTCCCGTTATTCGAAAAGCAACGAGACCAATGGTTGTGAGAGCCACTATTAATTCTTCATACCTCTGGAGGAATTGCAAGGTATTGAGACTCACGAAGAACTTGAGACTACAGAGCTTAGCTTCAAACGAAGATAGACAGACGGTTGATTGGTTCTCAAGATGGATTGCAGACATCGGAGATAAGATTACAGGGTTTGAAAACAATGGTTTGTTTGAGATCGATATTCCACCAAGGTTTATGTTGAAGTGTGGACCTGATCCAATTGCAACTATAGTTGAAAGCATCTTCCCAACAGCGAAGTATAGAATGCTAGAAGAGTCGCACCTTGAAGGACGAGCGATCCTCTCACTGACTTTAGATGTTGATCAAATTAATCGGTATATGTGTGACATGAACACTGCAGAAGGTCGGACGTATTTAAGCTGTGACTCTTTGTGTAAGGCAGAATCAGATGGTGATAATCTCTCACAAGTACACACTCCTGAATTTTTAAATAACTTGAGATTGTCTGGACTTCCTAATTATTCATTGACAATAAAGGTTGGTGCACATGTTATGTTACTGCGGAACATAGACCACTCTCTTGGTCTTTGCAACGATATGCACCTCATCGTTACAAAATTGGCGGATCATATTGTCGAAGCAAGAATAGTTAATGGAACGCAGCAAGGAAACAATGTTCTTATACCACGAATGTCTCTCACCCCTTCTGATACAAGATTTTCATTCAAGTTACAGCGTAAACAATTCCCGTTGATGCTAGCATATGCAATGACTATCAACAAAAGCCAGGGTCAAACACTAACTCACGTTCGCTTATTGTTGAAAAAACTAGTCTTTAATCACGGTCAATTGTACGTGGTTTTTTCCCGAGTCACTCATCCTGATGGCCTTAAGGTTTTAGATCTAGACGAGGATGGACACACTTCTGTTACTACTACTAATGCCGTCTACATAGAGGTTTTCAACAATGTGTAATTCAAAACAGTTATATTATGTATTCTTCTTGCACCAATATAACAAAATTGTTACATATCCACATATTACGTATATATTCCGTTACAAAAATTTCTATAGCTAAATTACTACACATAAAGATAATGAGACCAATTAATTCAATTCCAAAACATTCATACAAACTTTAATTCAACGTTAAAATTTACACTATCGAATATGAAGCAAATTATAATTCATATATTATAACGAGTACATTACGTGCATCGCACGGGTGCAAATACTAGTTATAATGTAATAGGTTCAGCAATATTCAAAAATGGATAATAATGAAAACACCACACTAAAGAAAGGTAATTGTATGATAGATTTGCTTCACGGAATAAATTTAAAATAAAATATTATTATAAGAATAGGTCAATTTTACCATTTATTAGAATTGAAGCATGTGCTCCATCTCAACTAAAAGCCTAATGATAGCTGGATTGCACAGTAGTGGCTATATGCTCACAATTAGTACCTTTTATTTTAAAAAATATTTTTTAATAATGAGAAAAATTCGCATCCACTATTTGAAGGTGTGTATAAGATAAACTCTATCTTGTGACTATTTTCTTTTATTAAATACTAGTTATTTATTAGAACTTGTATTAGTTTTTTTTTCTTAATTATTTTTAAGAATCATGCTAGATTCCTCTATTTTAACATTTTTTACCGTATTACTTGAGGAATATTTTCTACCAATAAAAATAATTTTACTATTTAACTTTTTTAATTTAGTGAGCTCTTTACAACATGTTTGGTTTATGGAATAGGCCTGAAATAAAATGACATTTTCGAAAACATGCATATCCCTTGCAAGGGGAATAGCGAATCCAAGGCCCCCTGGTAATAGCCTAAATTTGCTATTTTCTATTTTACCCCCATTAAATTTAAAATTTGTTTAGGCATTTTTTTTCCTCTATTGCAACACTTCTTTTTAACCAATACGACACTTGCATCTTTTTTAGGTTCAAACTCTATAATCTTCACAAGATATATATCTGATTCTACGATGAGTGTATATGGTGTTTAATTTTTTATATGATTCTATTTATTTGAATTTTATATATATATATATATATATATATATATATATATATATTAGCACTCAGATGCGGCAAGGGCCAGGCTTACCGTGCGGTGGGGGTTCCAGAAATACACCAACAGTATAAGATAATCACACCACAATGAAATGCCAAAAAAAAAAAAAAAAAAAAAAAAAAAAAAAAAGAAAAAGAAAAAAACAACGAAAAATACACAAATACACCTAAAAAAATACACCATATAACTCACAACTCCTAATGGTGTACTTATACCTAATGGTGTGTTTTTTGTGATGTCTATCTAATTTGTGTGTGATTTGTGGTGTATTTCCTAACGTTGATGGTGTATAATCACTCAACTATTGGTGACGCCGCACTGCCGCACCGTAATCCCCCGCCGCACCTGAACTTAACTATATATATATATATATATATATATATATATATATATATATGATCGGATGTGGTAATAGGCTTCAGGTAAAAGATGGGGTTTAATCTTAGCCCTTGATCTAATCAAAATTAACAGCCCAGATTGAATAATACTTTTTTAAAAAAATGCGGTGACAATTTTGTCTTTTTGCGTATTGGTCAAACTTAAGGTGAAGGTGCGTCGTTTTCCTTCTTAAGGTGTGTGGTTTCTGTGATTAAGG